TCGGCGCATCAATGTACATACCCCTCAGTATTCCATATAGATTGCATGACTTGCTGGTATGGGACGCATGGACGAGATGAGACCACGCGGATGCAGACAGAATGGAAGTGCGTTTTGATGCTCGACATAGCATAGGGCAATATGGAGTGCAGCGTAGTGCGTAAAATGCATGATGGCGTGTACGGCCTGAATGGCCGGAATCGACTGACCCAGTCTCCCCCTCCCCTCTCTCCTGGTCACCGAGAATAGAATACAGCGCTTACTCGGCGTCAACAACCACTGTCTCAAGACCCTGGCAGTGAAGCAGAGTCAGATGGGAGGGGGAATAGATATTGACAGTGACGCACCTTGAAGGACTCTACCGGTACGAAGCTCGCGTAGGTGTAGAGCTTCTCCTTCGCGTTCTCCTCGTCATTCCGCTTGCCTGCAAATTCATCCAATCCGTCAGCACACCCTGATACTCCAGCTAATACGAATCGTACGCACGCTCAAGCTTGACGCGGATCCGGTGCGGTGGCGACTTGATACCGCGCTCCCAGAGCTGCTGGTTAAGGCGGGGGTCGATGCGGACGTCTGTGGTGCCCATCGCTTTCTGTGCGAAGTCGACGACGGACTTGACGGCGTAGGGGGCGCGCTTCTTGAAGGAGCGGCCGTGAACACGCTTGTGGAGGTGGATGGTGTACTCGCGCGTCACGACATCCTGGAGGGCCGAGCGCGTCTTGCCGGTCTGCGAAGGGGTTCGTAGACCTGGTTAGACGAGACGCATACGCCAGTGCTCGTCGGGACTGAACGCACCTTTTTCGTGGAGGTCTTGGAGGGGGCCTGCGCAGACAACGACGATGAGGACTAGCACACAATCGGGGACGGCGAGGACGTACCATGTCTTGCGGATGTCGGTGTCGGTGAGCGGGCGGTGGACTTCGGCGCAAACAGCGTGCAGCCACTTTGGCCGTGTTTGTGTGCGGTGGCGTGGAGATTAAGGTTCGGGTGGCTGAGCCAGCTGTACAGTTTTACGATCACTCGCACATACGGATGCATCGGGCCGAGATCTCAGTACAACAACCTGTTGACGGCTTCGGGACGGCTTCGCTGAGGGCACACAATGCGATTCTACGTCGGAAGGTGAATATTTACATATATCGCTGAGTACTACTGGTCTGCTTGGCTTGTGGGTAGCTCGCGTCGAGCTCAAAGTGCTTGACTGAACCATCAGTGCGCTGGATATTGCACTACAGAGCATTGTTCAGTGCCGCCTTGTTCCGAATCAAACTTGCAAAACTACGTTCCTTTATATGCACACAACGAATTTGATCCATGCTACTCGACGGTAAAGGTTATTCAGCCGGTCATTACAGTACGAGTCTAATAGCCCTGACACGGGAGTTGTAATACATGCTCAAGATGCCTATATATCGTTCTCTGGGCCATTGCACTTTTACTGATAGCGGTGCCCGACATATAAACCTGAACCGGTTGCAGCTGTATCCTGGACACTGCGCTGTTGCAACATTGTCAAAATGAATGGTTGAAAGCAAGTTCAACGGCGCATGCTTCGCTGGGGCCAGACCGACGCTGATAGGCGCTGGAGCGCACGTGGGACAAGTCTGGGGACGTCCCGATTTGGCAGGCGTTGTGGCGAGAGGACAATGCGCGCGAACGGGGAGGACCGACAATGGGCCTCCCTTTCATTCTCCTCGTCCGGCCCAGCCTTTGTTTTCCCGTCCGCGTGCTTTCTCCCCGTATGTGCCTTTGGCTGCGTTGTTTGTGGACCTACAAAGCTACGACATCAGAACAATGAGACAAGGGACACCCGAATTACGCGAGGGTTGGCGATCCGCCCAGGAACGGCAGCGGACGCGACTGATCGTTTGGGCGAGTTGTTTGTCTCCCTGCCCACGCTACATTCCGTCCCACTGGCTCTCCCCATATAAAACCTGGGGGCACCGTATGGCGTCCATAGCAACTCGCCTCAGCCTCTGAACGTTCTGCACGCTCGCGTCTCTGTGCCCCGCACTCGCTGTTGCGCACCCCTCGACCTCCCCGCCGTTCGTTATCCTCCGCTAGACCACCAGACACCATGCGCTGCGCTCTCGCCCTCACCACCCTCCTCAGTGCCCTCGCCACCGTCCAGGCGTCCTACCTTCTCCGCCGCCAGTTCCCCAGTACGTACCCGCATCCGTGACAGACGTGATCGTCGATCTCTGACCGGATCTGTCTGCACAACAGGCTGCGCAGAGTCCTGCCTGGCAGACGCGAACTTCGACGGCTGCAACTCGTCCGACGACACCTGCCTCTGTAAATCCTCCGCCTTCGTGAACAGCGTCACGTCCTGCATCCAAAGCTCTTGCACCGGCAACGACCTGACCACCGCGGAGTCTGACGCCCAGCAGCTCTGTCTCGCCGTCGTACGTCCTCCTTGACCCTCTCCGATCCTCTCGTCTCACCTCGCACTTTCTTGTCCTCCAGGGCGTTACTCTGGCCTCGAGCGGCGCCTCTGCGACCTCCACCTCACCCAGCAGCAGCACGAGCTCTGCCGCCAGCTCGTGAGTATCTTCCCCTACCGCTTCTCAGCGCTTCTTCTCACACACCCATGCAGAGCCTCTGCAACCTCCGCCAGCAGCGGCGCCCGCACCCACGGCGTGAATGCCCTCGCAGGGCTTGCCGCCGTCGGCGCCGTCGCTTTCGCATTCTAAGTGCACCTCACCTCGCGCGCGATACGGCGTTATCGTCCGCAGGGACCCTAGATATCCTTCGCATTCATACCTCCATCGAGGCCGGGCACCCCGCATTCGAGACGCGCACGACGCAGGTCGTGTCGCGCCGCGGCGAGTGTCGGCGTCGACCTTTGCATACTTGCTGTGCACCAGTATCTTATTCCTCATTTGCTATTCGCATGTATATCGTTCGAGGGTTTGGAACACATCTGTGTATTGTTGGTTCGCTGTCTGGGTGAAATTCGGGGTACTGACGCTGAGCTGGTAATGCAAACGCGTTTGCATGAGAAAACATCTTGAGCACACTACAATCTCTTAACCCCAAATGGAGGACGGGAACATACCCTCTGCTTTCGCCAGACAAAATTGGTGTTGCGGAATGGGCGTTCAAAATGCACCTTACGATTTTCCTGAGGTGCAGGGAACAGGCAGCCCTTAGTGCGTCTCGCAGCATAGTGAGGTGGTGTGTAGTGGTACCATGTAGGTTGTTCTTAGGCAGCGATCCTACGTACAACAAGAAAATTGGACATCTGCATTATACTATACCGGTTCAGCTAGCGTGAGGATGCATAGGTGTATCTATCGTCTGCGCTACTCAGCGTGCCATGGGTCGCGACGACATGAGCGGGGAAGACGTACATAAGTGTAAGACAGAAGTAGTGGCGCGTTGACGACGAGTTTCCTCGCGACCGAGCGGTTTCATACGTATGAGTACAACAGATTGTCGGTAGGAATGCAACGAGAAGACAAGGCCTTGCGAAGCTCCAAATACAAATGACTGACATACGGAAGCAGGAAAAGAAAAGTCGATCAGGAGAACATAACAGGAAGAGAAAGACCCCAGCCGGCCCGCGCAGGCAGGGGTCGTACACCTCAAATCCAACCGCTGATAATGACTACCATCGCGTTCTGGTCTCAGGGTCCACTGGTGGTCGACCCTCCACACCGCATCCATGCGTGATGTCGACTTGGGTCTCGGGGAGGAGTTTGAGACCGGGGGCGTGCTGGTGGGAGAGGGGAACCGGAGACTCGGTCGCGGGAAGTAACTTAGTACAGGATTCGAGGAAAAGCCGATAGGGTCGGGAACCGCTCGTGAGGCGAAGGGCGGCCGTCGTCAGATGAGGAGTGAGCTGCGACGGTGTCGAAGGGTGTACATAGTAAGGACAGCTCCAGGGACGGCCCGGAAGCACAACGAATGGAGAACAGTCGTCGACATCCCCCAGCGGCGATTCCGACGCTACGAGCGCTTTGTGCGCGCGTATGGACTCGGACGCTGCTGTACACGGATGGTGCACGGGTCCACCGAGGCCACAACGCAGGTCCGCGGCGCCAGGCGATCGGACTGGGACGACAGCCATACTGAATGGTCATGGCCGGAGTGCGCAAGGATACCGCCCCTTTCGTCGGGTTCAGACGAAGCGCCTGGCGTCTCGCTCGACAAATCGGACTCGCGAGCGCGAGAAATCAACCCTCCATCCATCTGCGGCGGCGCCACTGTCGTCGCGATGTTACCGGTATGGCGGGCAGGTGTCGTCTGGTATCAGGTTATGGAGACGACGAGACTGTTCGGCGGGAGTTGGCATGCGAGTGACTCGGGTTGCGCGGCTCTGCAGCTGTCATACAGTGGCATTCCATTCCCCACTGGGGGACGGGAATACCCGGACGATGAGAGGCTTGTCGGGCTGCGTGATCCACGTACAGTTCCAGGATCATATGGTCATGACGGGAACCCGGGAGGGGGGGGCGATCCAAAGCGTCCAGAGTAATGAGTGGGCCGTCCGGTGCCTTCGAGCGTGGCAAAGCGGTGAGCAGGAGAGACGAGAGCAGCGCGTGGTCCCCATGTACGCTCCGAGCCTCCGGTTAGGAGTGGACTGCGTACCGAGAGGAACCCTGCGCACAACCCTAGATAGGTCAGACTGTGTTGGCGTGAATGCAGACTGCCGACCGGTGAGTGGCGCCTGCTACGGTTCGGAAGGGGGATTCCTGAGTGGATCGTGGCAGATCGACTGTATGAAGTTGAATGGTGCTCCGATACTTTTGAAGGCGGTTACTGGCGAGAACATGAATGACGTTGAGGGCGAGTCCCTCGAAGTGAAGTCTGATAATCGGACGGGCGGAGAAGGAGCGGCGAGGCCGGGGCTCAACCACTGTGCGAACAACGTCGTCAGTCTACCGACGCAAAGCGCAGTCGCGGCAACATAGGGACTCACATAAATTATTCGCCATCTCGCTGTTCCACCAAACTCTACGCCGACCTCGTATAAATAGAGACAGAGAAGTGGGGCTCTACTTTGCCACTATCGTGTATCCGAGTCTCAGCGTGCCACGGGCATGCCACGCCAGCTTCTTCAGCTCTTCTTCAACCTGAAGGTGGTACCGTTCAACGTGGACCTTCTCTGGCTTGGGCTTCCAGTTGCCGCAGAGCAAGTATTCCACATTGATTGTCGCCTCCCACTGCTTTCGTGCAGCCAACTCGTCGAGAGGTTTCCAGTCCATCTCCATGTGTCGAATCATGTCGTCGTTCTGTCGCTGCGGGTCGAGGCCCTCAAAGGCGGGCGTCGCGACGACGCATAGGTCCAATCGAAACTTGCGAAGACGCGGTGCATTGAGAGTGGCAAGTGCTGTCATGAGAGGGGACCCGGTGTTTGCTAGCGCAGGAAGTGGTGGGACGTCCATGCCCGGATCGAACCTCAAGGTGAGCGACTCAAGGTTGGGGTTGTGCGACAGCACGCTGGTCCCTGCAATGAGGAGGCATGAGCATCTCTGTGTGCTACTAGACTCGGCGACGCACCCTTAGGGTCAATAGACACCTGAAGATCGGTGAGCGACGGACCCAGACATTCCAGTATATGGGCTAATGCGTCGTAGTAGATTTCCGGCTCATTAAGTAAGGAGGTCACTGTTCCAAGGCGCAGAACACGCAGGGCTCGTTCTTGCACAGTCGGCGTGAGTGCCAGCCAGTAAAGCAATGTAGTTTCGGGGTCTGGTCTATTCCGCGATGCCCATCCTCGGTAGAAGTCTAGGTGCAGCTGCTGCAGTCTCGGCTGCGGATGCGCCGTCGCAATGCTTGGGACAGGGTTCACAGGATTTAAGATGAGGAGCCGTACGGCCAATATGCGGAAGTCTTCAAGCTGCGGTAATGCGCTAACGAGATGCCTCAATCTATGCAGCCCTACAAATCGCAAATTCGGGGCCTCCAGGACCAAGCACCGTACCGACGAGAATGTCTTGAAAAACGAGTCGGGGAAAACGTGGATCGGGATCGTCGAGGGTGGCGTAGCACTGCGAAAGGCGAGGTGACGGAGCCTAGGGAGGGGCAAGTCAGCAAGTGCTACCAGCACTCGGCTGAGAGTTCTAAATTTGTCAGCTGCGGGGTCGTTTGCGAATCCGCTGAATCTCAGCTCTTCCATGCGCCCGAGGAGATCCCGCAGGTGGACGTCTGAGATCATGTGTAGGAAGGTAGAATATGCCTTGCTAGTTCCAATGTGGATCGTCTTGTACAAGACCCGTTTGGCGTGAGGGTACCATGTGCTGTGCGTCAATGCGCAATTCAGCAATGTTCCGCAGTCACCCCGCAGTTCTTCGAGGATCAGTGCGATACATTCGATGGGCAGCAGTTGACGACGCATGGCGACCAGGATGAGTGTCGAAGATGAGTGTCGTGGAAGTCCTAATAAGTAGCGGAGAGGAGGGCATTTCTCGTCACCGCGCTCGGGCGCCATAGGGCTCGGCGCGCGTGACAGCGCTCGATCCCTACGTGAGATACGCGCGTCATCGGTATCGGGCAGTCCTGCGCACGACGCGCAGTCGACGCCCCGGGCCTTGCACTGTGCAGCGATCGCTCGCGGTCTGCGATGCGTGCTCTGGATTCACGTCGACCCACGTCGTCCGTCGCCCGCAGGAACGTCGATCGACGTCGCCGCTCGCAGGATGCGCCCCGCTCGCCGCATGCGCGGTCTCCTCGCGTGCGCGGTCTCCCCCGCCGCCCGCGCAACAGCCGCCCAGCGCATGCACAAGACCGGGCAGAGTTCGTGAGTATGCGTCCTATTTACTCGCTGAAGGGCGACACCCAGCTTTCCCCTTCCTGTGTGCTGCCCGCGCATAGGCGCCCGTCTTTTCGGCCTCTCCGTGCACAAGGGCGCTGTATGTACATGTCTCTCGCGCTGTCTACTCATACACTCGACCGTCCTCCTCTCCCAGCATCCCCGTCCACGCGACGCCAGGTCACTCATGCTTGTGCATGGTGAGTACAGCTCTGCGCGATTCGGACCTTTCGACACTCACCACCAACACGGCAGACGAGTAGGGTCAGGCTGTCCATCCGCTACCTCCAATCGACCCCGACGTCGCTATGGAGTTTCTCGTCAGACCACAGTACGTCTCGTCGCTCCCGACCGGCCCGCCCATCCAGAACCTCGCACGTTCCCACCGCCTCCGAACGGATGCCTAGACGTGTACGTGGTAAGTGAAACAGTACCCATTCTCGAGTGCACACTCACCGAGAGCGACAGACGAGCAGGGCTACGCCGCGCAGACCTCCGCTCGCCGCAACATCGTCCACCATCGCGCTTCCCGGGCCGTGACGTACCGCGCCGCCGCTGATCCTCCCTCTCGCGTCACCACTTGCATCCGAGCCGAAGCGGCCACTGCCAAAGACGTGCACAAACACACGGTGAGTAGAGTTCTGCCGGAATCCGAACGAACACTTACCGTTTACTGAGACAGTCCCTTGAAGCCGACGCCGCTCGCCGGATCGCGATACATCGTGACTTCGCCGGTAAGCCCCGCATCCCGCCAACATCCACGGACGAGCAAAGTCCGCTGAGCAGACCGGCTGTTGCTCGCACGCTTCTGCAAACCCGCCCTCGACCGGGTGATGGATAGCCCTCTGCGACAGACCTTCGCGACCGACGGATCACCGCTGACGGTCAAGCGACGACCGGAAACCGACCCATGTACGACCACACATGACCGCCAAGGGCGAGATCGTCGGTATTTGACGGTGGAAGGCTACGTGGGCGCGAGCGCAGATGAGTGGACGCATACTCTGGTTTGCCAAGGCCGGTTCGTCGACGCTCTCGGTGCCTCGAATGTACGCGGGCAGGACACTCGCATGTCTGTTCGGTTTGGGCACAGATCTACGGCGTCTGCGGACACGTTCCGTAGGTGGACATTGCAAACAGCACGTGGGGAGCTTGGGGGGTTGCGACTGGAAGAGGGGCGGCCCGGTGAGTGACGAGTTGATGATCCCCGTCAACCATGTACTCACCGCGATCGCGCACATCGACGGCGTGTCTATGCCAGCCCGTTATTCACGTCGGTCGAGTACAGGAAGGCTACCGCGCGCGAGGAGACCGTCGTCGTCCGGCGGCACCTGGACTCTGGTGAGCCATCTGCGGATTTTTTGTGACCGGCATCACTCACTCGTCCGTCTGCGACTCGCACTCGCGCCTGTTGACTGCGGACGCCTGTAGATCGCCGGGCGAGTCTCGATAGCGAGTGCCCAGGAAACCGTCGTCGGCCGACCATCGAGCACAGCAAGTTGCGTGCGGTCGGCCTGACGCGCTGACGCCGTCGTCTGACAAGCGGACAGCTCTGTCACTACGGGCGTCGACGTGGTGAGTTTCGTGACCAGACCTTCGTAGCAGCTCGCGACCGCGTTCATTGACAGGGACGGCTACTCCATCGCCGCTCGCCATTGGACGAGGCTGGCGAGAGCAGCGCGCGGGCTTCCAAGTGCGTTGAGGGGCCACTGTCTGGTTTGTGACCGAGGGTGTCCAGCACGGCAGATCGCCGGCGTTCGGCGAAGTAGGCAGCTGTACCAGGCATAGGTCAGTATGGTGCGTCACAGCAAGTCCCTGAAAGCAACGTACTCACTTCGGAATCGTCGTCAGCGACGATTGCAGACAGCAACACCGTCGTTGGACGGCCCCGAGTCGTGCGAGAGCTTACGTCCTCGACGCGAGACGAGGAATTGGAGATCGTCGCCGTTTGGCGACGTTCGGCGTGCGGAGACTTGCGAGGCTGATTGGGGAATAGCGATGAGTGATATGTAGACCGATCGTGACCATGTCACGGTACTTACTTGAGAATACACACTGTTGCCTAGGCTTGCGCGTGCTGAAGACGTGCTGGGCGCCGTGTAGCGCGTCGTCGTCGGACGAGTCGTGCTGGTCTTGGAAACCGAACCGGCGTGCTGAGGAACTGGAGATCGTCGTCGTCGTCTGGCGATGACTGCCTGGACAATGGGTCGGTTAGTTGATTCGAGTGAGCACTGAGTAACAAAACACTTACATCGGGTTATGTATGGGCTGCTGATGTGACCGTAGATGTTGATGAGTCGACCACGAGCACCATTGTATGAGGTCGGGAGGGGCAGGGGGTGGTAGTGAGCGGGTAGACGACAAAGTCGTCTGGTGATGGTCAGTGTGGGAGGAGCTGTGACAGGACGGGGATGGATATGGGGGAGTGGTCAATTTCCGGTGACCACTTCCCCATGCCAGAATCTCCCTTAGCCGTTCCTCAGGCTGTCGCATATCTCGGCTACTGCACGTAATATGGGCATTACGAGATGCATAGACTCCGGCGAAGAGCATCAGTCAGTGGGTCCGAGGATCAGCGCGCAGCGCTCATCACGGCACGCATGTAAACTAATCAGGCTGAGCGGCCTCAGGCTCAGGCCGTTGCTAGCTACCGACACCAAGGTAGGTGTATCAATTGGTCAGTACATGGACATAACTCATTCCTTACGCTCTAGGTCGTCTGTTCAGCAATTTCGGCGGATGCTGCCAAGCCAGAAACGGAGTCAAGAAGTAGTAGGGTATGGCAAAGCTGAATGACTCGTTTGTTTGTACAGTGAACAAGAATTGATATTGCTTCCCAGGGTTATTAGACTCATTGTAGTATTGTGCATAACGATGTGAATACAATTGCTATCGACTTTGTAATCGTATACATGTCTCCCTTGCTCGACGCACGAAACAAGGGCGGCGTCGTCAAGCTCTCAGCGACCGGCGGCTCGCTTGTAGTGTCGTATGGTGACAGCCGGTCTTTCACTGCACACGCAGCCGGCAGGTGGTACTCGGTCTGGGCGGCCTGTGCTATAGCCGTGTAAGTATCCACTGGTGAGTCGTTCACCCCGTATATCATTCCCGGAGCCACTGTATTCAGGCCAGAGAGCGTTGGGAGACCCATGCTCTACGTGCTCGAAGGACCACCGGGAAAGTCCTCGTTGGGACTTGGCGACGGGCGCTGTCAAGCGAAACGTCGCTCTGGCGCCCAGTGCCGTTCGGACTCGCCAGAGCTGCGGGATATGATGCCGTACACTTCTCTGTCGGCCATGGACATATCGGGTCGCGCATTGACTTATCTGTTTCGTAACGTGTATTGCACATCAGATCTGCGAGGACGCGGGGTCAGACTGAGTATCGCGTGATCAGAAGCACTTACCGTCTCGTTCCGTCTTGACGAATTCAGCCATCCCGCTGCCATGCGCCCACCGTCGGTCAACTAATCCATCCATTCTGGTGCCTCGTCCGCTCGACTGAGTCGACGTTCTCAGATACGTTGTGCATCCCCCTCGCGGCCCTCTCGATGCTGCCGTCAACGTATGCATCACGCCCAGCCATGCACAGAATGCCCACCTGCATCTACTCGTAGTCCAGCTAACCCACCTTGTCTTCCGGTCACGTCTCGAGACGCAGGCCCCGTTCGTGTCCCTGTTCTGTCATGGACACCGATGCCGCACACGGTCAAAAGTGAGCATGATTCCCATACTTCCATACCCTACCTTTTCGTCCTGCGCGCGGCTGACCTCCACTGTCTTCAGCGTCATTTTTGCACGGTCCGCGGTCGCCATGGTCAGCGCACGGTACGTAGGGGGGTACCGCGCATGCTAACACCCCCAGCCGTACGGCGGTATCGCCACTATCGTCGGCAGATGACACTAGAAATTGTCGCCGCACTGCGCAGTACGTACCTCGTGCACTGTCCCGCACTGATTCTAATCCAGGTATTGTCCGGCCCTGACAGCTCGTTGCGTCGTGCGTGACGTCGCCCAATATGGAGACACGACGTACGTACATTGTTTGTTATTCAGCCCGCTTATCACAGCCCGCTCACACGAGCTGCTCTCGTGTTGCACGCCTTCGTCTCCGATGGCGGCGCATCCTGTAGCACGAGACCGTCCAAGCGCCCCATCTGGGGGGGCTACTTGATTGATAGACTTGCACTTGCAGGGTGACATGTGAAGTCAACGGTGAAAATACATGTACCGGTTGAGACTACCATCCGTGGAGCGCGAATAGCGGCCAGGGTAGACAGGCGAGGAGGGTGTGCTGGGCCAGTTTATGGCACACGGTTTGGACCGTTCTGGCTTGCGCACGTCAGAGCAGACAGCCGACAAGTCATTCCACACAGACCTGTACAGATAGCCGGTAGCAGTAGAGTGACAGCCCGATCAATGGCGTCCAGAGAGCGGGCCGCGCATCGTGCAGCGGGTCGCCGCTTACAGTGGAAGAACGCGTCGGCTGTCGCAGAGGTAACGAGAACGGGGAACGGCGGCAAGGCACGTCCGGGCTGACTGGCAGTGGGGGAACCGATGAGAACGTTCTTTGTAACGAGAACGTATGATGGTACTTACATACGGACGAGCTCGTTACCCGGCTGAGGCCAGATCAACAGGTTATGCACACCGTGACGCCGAGCCTAGTGTCTCAGTGCGGTGTCTTCGCATTCCACGTCCCGCACGGCCTCAGAGCTAGCGGTCAGTACGCACCCATCTCGCGTAGATATTCGAGGGCCACCGGTGTCCAGCTGGCGCACGAGGAGGCAGTCCTGGGTACTCTGAAGTAGTAGCGAGCGCCCCGAGCAGAACATCGCTCCCGCGCCCGAACTCGTTCCGCGCACGACCTTGAGGGATTTGCACAAGACATTAAATACATATTTCCAACGTTGCGCGTGGTGATTGCGGGGTGAGGAGGCGACGTGAAGGCAAGGGAAAGCGGGACTTGGCCCGGGGGTCACTGGCGGTCAGTGATCCCAAGCAAAGGCGCGCGCCCAGAACTGTACCCAGACATTGTGGGTATCGACGAACTCGTCTCTGCAGTGCGGATCAACCTGCGCAAACAGAAACGGCGGGACGGATCGAAGGAGCTCACGATTGAGGTTGGACGACGAAGACAAGTCGAGAGACGAAGGACGTACGGAGGCTCAGAGTGGCTGGAGATCGTCTGGCCGATCTCCAAACACGAGGCTCTCAACCGCTGCAGACGGGCGCCTATTCCGTGTCTCTGTGCGATCGTCTCTCCTTGCTGCTCTCGGGCTGGCCGTACTTATTGCTCCGACGCAGTACGTGAGTCCAATCATTATATCTTATGCTGATGTTTTTTAGATGTTCAGGTACACTAAAATATCCAAACTCGCACCGTAACGCAGCGAAAGGGCCTGCGTCGCATGTGCGAGAAGGGCTACTAGTGGTACAAGAGCTATCCCCGCGGTGAATACGTTTCTCGCGGGCACCAGCCGAGCGGCGTCTCCAAGAGCGCCCGTACGTGATGCATCAATCAGAATGCGCGTGTTGCCTCCCGACGGTTGGAAACTCGGTAATTCGTGGCAGGTGCAGTTCAGGTACTGTAGCTCGGAAGCTGACAAGCGAGGCCAGGGCACGACGCGGCACGGTGACATGAGACAGCGCTGGGTACGGAATGGTACGATGCGAACGGAGCGCGCTTGAGGACGCACGGACCAGCTCTGCAAACGCACGAGCTATATAAGCTGGCCTTGTTGGCCTTGTACCGCCATCATCCCCTTCGTCGCTTTCTATCGCTCGACAACCACCCTTCCCTCGCTCGCTATTCCCCGACTGTGACATGTTGCCTTTGCATGTCTAGTCTTCGCTGTTTCTCAATCAGTGAGTCGAATTGATTTGCCGCACGTACACTTAAGTTGCTGATGTGTTTGCATGCGCAGTGACTATACTATTATACCGTCCGTAAGTTTCGTTAGCCCCGTTCAAGTGTCCGTGTCTCTTGACGGTTTCTGCAAGGAGAGGCCACGCCGTAACAGCCAGTGTCGCTTGCATTGGCGGCCCAGTGGAGGTAAGTCATGGGCCGACTTCGCATTTTCGCACTCAACTGATGTATCTCTCGTTCATCCAGTGGATTGTGCCCGCTGCTTACAAAACCGAACCGGTGCGTGTCGGATTCACGCTCATTGATGTGCCTTACTAATTGCTGTGGTCACAGTTGAATGATACTCGATATCACTTTGTCGTTACCGTCTCCAGGCCGTTACCGATGGCGGCGACTGGTCTCGTAAGTTTAGCGGTCTCCGTTCCGACCGTGATGGTATAATAGCACTGCGTACGAGACGATTCACAGGTCCTCACGAACCTGAACCTGTTTCAACGAGCCTGTTTCGTGTTTGTGTACGTTCAAGCCCACGTCCAGGCGAACGTCAAGTTCGCAACAGGCGAGTCATAGAAGGACCCATTTGCTGTCTTGGGCCCTACTCGTCTGTCGCGTTTGCGACTGTCGGCGTGTGTTTGCTGGTAAGTGGCACCCTTAGATCACTTTTATTGGTGCTGACAGTGTGTTCGTCACCTACAGACTGCCCGCGCCGACAAGTGAGGATGCTGTATAGTTGAACTCGGGTATGTATGAGGGTGTCATATCTTGATGCCGTGGGCTAACAGATATGTTGTGTTTGTAGCCTGAGTATAGGTAGGGGATACTCCGGTCTCGCGAATCCGCCCCGGAGACGGGGAGAGCGTCCAGCATGCAGCACATGGACTCACACACGTCGGGCACCGTCTCAAGGGTGCCCTGTGGTTGTCCCCTTTCTGCTTGCATCGAAGAACCATAACGGGCAAACCCCGCGTCAGTTGGACGGCTGTGATCGCGCGCTGGATTGTTGAGGCCGGTACGCGCTCGCGACGACAGGATTACACGGCGTTCATGTAATGCCCGGCCAATCCACCACGTCGTGGCCCGACGCCGAGTACTGGACTCGCGTCCGTGCTTCTTCATCGAGCCGGAGTGCGTCATTCGATGCATACTGCGGTCTGCGGTTGTGCATCCTCGGCGTCCTTGTCACGGACTTCCAGACGCCTCATCCGCGCGCGGATTCGCTTACTTCCACACACCTGTGAACCGGCTCTCCACTGACGAGGAGGGTGTCCTGCTCGACTTTGTCCCTGGCCCTGATAAGTGACGGTGCGCATATCAGCGCCACTAACCGGTGCTCACGCTGATTGCTCTTCCGCTAGTGTGGTGCTGGGGCTGGGACGGCGCGGGCGATCTGGACGGGCGTGACGTGGACCCTATGCCCAGCAAGTCGATGGGCCCGGAAGCGGTCGCGATTCGGCACGCCGACAGAAGCATGAACCTGCCGTATCCTTAATGTACGTCCGCGTTGTCCCTGTCTTGTAGTCGTCGTTCTGTTTGTTAACGTGTCTCCGTCTGTCTGGGCTCTCGGCACCTCAATGCACATACCCCTCAGTATTCCATATAGATTGCGTGACTTGCTGCTATGGAACTAATGGACGAGACGAGACGACGCGAATTTGATGCTTGACATAGCATAGGGCAATATGGAGTGCAGCGTAGTGCGTGAAATGCATGGTGGCGTGTACGGCCTGAATGGCCGGAATCGACTGACACAGTCTCCCCCTCCCCTCTCTCCTGGTCACCGAGAATCATCAGGAAAAAAGCTCCCTCCGAATTATGCTATATGGTCAGGAATTCTGAATAAAACGTAGAAGCTCAGTAATGTCGAATCATTCTGATGTCAGTCGCAATAATACGTCGAATGCTTATTTCCGTGCACGTCACTCCAGCATGAACCGATGATTATGCATTCATTCGCCAGCATTCAGAGCCCAACTATAAGCATCTCAGCATTATCATGGCAAAATGAGATACCAAGTACTTGACAGGAATGCTAATCGGACGCAAATGAGTGATCACGACCTAACAATATGTATTCGCTGAGCAATACTATACATTGGGTCTGCTTCGCATCACTGTGCATACTGAATCAGTGCCTGCGTCAGCCGTATCGAAAGCACCATTCACGGGAGGGCACCATGTCGATGCACGCACCGGTTCACGAGGACGTATCTCCGCGGCCTGTCCACTGCACGGAGCGTCGCTGCCCGCTGCCGCTCCTCCGCCCTCATCGCAATCCGAGGCGTTGCCGCACCCGCGCCCGCGGTCGTCCTGAATCGAAGCCCGCAGCTCCCGCCGTGCCCAAGGCCCGCTGCCTCACGCATCCAACTCACCGAAAGAGACCATGTCAGGCCTAGAGAGCGTCACGACAACACTCACCTCGCACGTCCTCGCACCGCCGGCGACGGTTGCGTCCTCGAGAAGCTTGCGTAGGAGGCGGGCACGGATCGGTCGACGAGTCTGGGCGAGTCTGCACGGCGGACGGGGAAGCGAACACCGCGCTCGCTCGCTCAATGCGATCAGCTTCGCGTGACGAAAAGAAGAACAAATTTGGTGCAGTGGGCTGGACCCAGGAGCAAGTAGGGCCAAGGGAGCAGCGGTGGGTGGGCAGGCGAGCAGGTGGGCTGGTAGGTGGGCAAGCGGGTGGGCTGGTAGGTGGGCAAGCGGGTGGGCTGGTAGGTGGGCAAGCGGGTGGACAAGCGGGCGGACAAGCGGGCGGACCAGTGGGCGGACAAGCGAGCAGGCACGTGGGAGGAAGGGAGCATGGGCGGGCATGCAGGCACATGGCTGGGCCGGAGAATAGGCAAGGGAGCACGGGCGAGCGCGAGTGAGTGGGCAGACGAGCAGGCGCACGGGTGGGTGCGTTATTAGGCACACGGACAAGCGGGTAAGCTGGAGAGCGGGCAAGTAGCTGAGCAGATGAGCAAGAGGTCGACAGCGCGGGAAAGACAGAGCGTGCCAGTGAGCAAGACAGAACGTGGACGGGTGGGCAGGCAAGCAAGTGCTGGTGCCGAGGGTAATGCTGGTGGACATGAACACCGTCGTCAGCGAAAATTCACGGCATAGCCATTCACTCACCTGCTGAATGTTTGACTCGTTGTCTGCCTGTCCTCTCTCACGTTACTCATCTGCCTGTCCACCTGTTCACTCGTACGCTCGCTCTTTCGCTCTCACGCGTCATCCATCCTCACGCATCCGTTCACTCGCCTGCCCCCGTACTCACCCTCTCTTCTTACCATGCGCCCAAGGCTCCGAATAGCCTAGCTGACCGCTCATTCAGCGTATCCCGCCGCCACACGCGATTGTCGTAGCTGACGCCGCCCGGCGTTCAATGTCTGGGTCGAGCTGGAGAGTTTGCAGTGGGAGTGGGTCATGACGCGTGGAAAGATGATGGTGTAGCAGACGACGAACCCCGCAAAACAAAAAGAAGCCAGACATGGTTGAGTTAACGCTACGAGTAGATGAGCGGTAAGCAGCGAGACGCAAAAGACACGACGGCATCGTGCGCCAGAGTTCAGTTACTGCTTGCCCTAAACTGAATCTCGATCGAGTTCTGCCACGTCACTCCGCTGGCTTCACTTGCTACGTCGCCGCCGCGTTTGCATCGCGTCGTCGTCCTCCTGGCACACTTTCCTTGCCAGCCATATCCTATCTCTGCATTGTCTATGTCCCCCGTGTCGCTCGTGTGGTTTGTCTCGCATGCTCACTCGTTCACTATCACACATCTGACCGCGTTTGGTTCATCTCCTGCTCGCCCACTCAGCAGCTCTTGCTCGCCCAGGCATCAGATCTTGCTGACTCGCATCCTTGCCTCGCCCGCGCTTGCCGCCCTCTTGCTGGTTCAAACGTTCACTTGCCATTGGTATCTCGCCTGCTCTTGCCTGCCCGCTCCCTTATGAACCTTCCGTCAGCTTATTCATATGCTAGCTCGCTCGCCAGCGCCCGCCGTCCGCTCATTTGCCATCTGACTCGCCACCTCAATGTCCCCCTCGTCTGCCACCTTGCTTGTCCGCCCTCGCGTTTGCCATGCCCCGCTGAACCGTGTCCTATCTGCTGTTGACCGTGCCCGCCATTTCGTTCGCCCGTTATCTTGTCATCCCTCCTGCCCGCCGTCTCGCACCCGCCGACTTGCCCTCTCGTGCCTGCGCATTTGCTTTCTCGCGCCCGCCCAGCGCCCACTGTCTTTTCGTGCCCGCCCACTGTCTGTTCGTGCCCGCCCACTGTCTTTTCGCGCCTGCCTGCTTGCACTTTCGTGTCCACCCATTATCTCTCTTGCGTCCACACGCCCGCTCCGTTGTGTCCGCGTGTTCAAACATTCTTGTGTGTGCGCGCATGCGCATCCTCCGCGCTCGCTTCCAGAATCCACAGCTGCTTGCTCTCGGCTTCTTGACCGCGCACCTGCCTGCTGCCTCATGACAAACATTGACCTGTGTGCGTACCTTCTCGCCGTCTATGACAGCCAGCTAACATACATTCACATGGAGACTATTGCCCCTGTCACCTGCAACCTACGCGCCCATGCTTGTGGACACACACTCGACTCCGTCTTGCCCACAGTCTGTCTTGCACGCCCCCTCCCGCCCATGCTCTCGTCTGCTCGGCCGGCTGGCCACCTCCCCATTCGTGCGATCACCCACGCGATTGGTCACTTGTCCATCCGCCGACTTGCCTGCGGACCCGCTTAGTGACCCGTCGACCCACTGACACTGTTACTCTAGTCATATTTTACTGCCTGTGCTCGTCATCTATCTCCCTCCCTAGTACCTATCTCATCTGCTCGTGGCCTTGGACCTCTCATAATGCATCACAGATTCTCATATCGGACTCGTAGTAGTATATGACATGCACGACAATGCATTAAATTTTTGTTCTAATCACTTTGCGTGAACAAACATTAGAGTGAATTTTCATCAAATGTCCTGAGAACGGCATAGAAGCCACGACTTATTGCGTGAACATGCCACAGAAATTCACGAGAACATTGTAATTACTCGAGTATTACTGAGTATTCGTACACGGACCCATGGGGACCACGGAATATGGTCTGTTATTGGATTAGGAAGATTAATGCTGTTTATCTTCTATTCCTACGAATTTGCTTCTATTCTTCCGCATTCAGGGGAAGGTTTTTTCCTGATGATAGAATGCAGCGCTTACTCGGCGTCAACAACCACTGTCTCAAGACCCTGGCAGTGAAGCATAGTTAGATGGGAGGCGGAATAGTTATTGACACCGCGACGCACCTTGAAGGACAACCGGTACGAGGGTCGCGTAGGTGTAGTCTCCTTCGTGTTCTCCTCGTCATTCCACTTCAAGTTGCCTGCAAATTCATATATCTGTCAGTACACCCGATGCCTTACTGATACAAGTCGTACGCACACTCAAGCCGATGCGCATCCAGTGCGGTGGCGACTTGATACCGTGCTCCCAGAGCTGCTGGTTAAGGCGGGGTCAATGCAGACGTCGGTGGTGCCCATCGCCTTCTGGGCGGAGTCGACGACGGACTTGACGGCGTAGGGAGCACGCTTCTTGAAGGAGCGGTCGTGAACGCGCTTGTGGAGGTGGATTGTGTACTCGCGTGTCACGACATCCTGGAGGGCCGAGCGCGTTTTGCCGGTCTGCGAAGGCGTTCGTAAACCTAGTTAGATGAAATGCACATGTCGGTGTTTGACAACACACCTTTTTCGTGGAGGTCTTGGAGGGAGCCTGTGCGGACAACGACGATGACGACCAGTACGAGACGGGGACCGGAGACTCGGTGGCGGGAAGTAGCACAATGCGCACAAACCTCCTGCCAGATGTGCGAACAGCTTTGTCAGACGGAAAGCGCAGTCGGGGCAACGTAGGGACTCACATCAATTATTCGCCATCTCGCTGTTCCACCAAACTCTACGCCGACCTCGTATAAATAGAGACAGAAGTGGGGCTCTACTTTGCCACTATCGTGTATCCGAGTCTCAGCGTGCCACGGGCATGCCACGCCAGCTTCTTCAGCTCTTCTTCAACCTGAAGGTGGTACCGTTCAACGTGGACCTTCTCTGGCTTGGGCTTCCAGTTGCCGCAGAGCAAGTATTCCACATTGATTGTCGCCTCCCACTGCTTTCGTGCAGCCAACTCGTCGAGAGGTTTCCAGTCCATCTCCATGTGTCGAATCATGTCGTCGTTCTGTCGCTGCGGGTCGAGGCCCTCAAAGGCGGGCGTCGCGACGACGCATAGGTCCAATCGAAACTTGCGAAGACGCGGTGCATTGAGAGTGGCAAGTGCTGTCATGAGAGGGGACCCGGTGTTTGCTAGCGCAGGAAGTGGTGGGACGTCCATGCCCGGATCGAACCTCAAGGTGAGCGACTCAAGGTTGGGGTTGTGCGACAGCACGCTGGTCCCTGCAATGAGAAGGCATGAGCATCTCTGTGTGCTACTAGACTCGGCGACGCACCCTTAGGGTCAATAGACACCTGAAGGTCGGTGAGCGACGGACCCAGACATTCCAGTATATGGGCTAATGCGTCGTAGTAGATTTCCGGCTCATTAAGTAAGGAGGTCACTGTTCCAAGGCGCAGAACACGCAGGGCTCGTTCTTGCACAGTCGGCGTGAGTGCCAGCCAGTAAAGCAATGTAGTTTCGGGGTCTGGTCTATTCCGCGATGCCCATCCACGGTAGAAGTCTAGGTGCAGCTGCTGCAGTCTCGGCTGCGGATGCGCCGTCGCAATGCTTGGGACAGGGTTCACAGGATTTAAGATGAGGAGCCGTACGGCCAATATGCGGAAGTCTTCAAGCTGCGGTAATGCGCTAACGAGATGCCTCAATCTATGCAGCCCTACAAATCGCAAATTCGGGGCCTCCAGGACCAAGCACCGTACCGACGAGAATGTCTTGAAAAACGAGTCGGGGAAAACGTGGATCGGGATCGTCGAGGGTGGCGTAGCACTGCGAAAGGCGAGGTGACGGAGCCTAGGGAGGGGCAAGTCAGCAAGTGCTACCAGCACTCGGCTGAGAGTTCTAAATTTGTCAGCTGCGGGGTCGTTTGCGAATCCGCTGAATCTCAGCTCTTCCATGCGCCCGAGGAGATCCCGCAGGTGGACGTCTGAGATCATGTGTAGGAAGGTAGAATATGCCTTGCTAGTTCCAATGTGGATCGTCTTGTACAAGACCCGTTTGGCGTGAGGGTACCATGTGCTGTGCGTCAATGCGCAATTCAGCAATGTTCCGCAGTCACCCCGCAGTTCTTCGAGGATCAGTGCGATACATTCGATGGGCAGCAGTTGACGACGCATGGCGACCAGGATGAGTGTCGAAGATGAGTGTCGTGGAAGTCCTAATAAGTAGCGCGCGGCCGGGCATGCAGCACAGTTTATCCAAGAAAGGCAAGTGGTGACACTGATCGTCAATATTTAGCGCTAGCTTGCCTGCCAAATAACAGAGAGGAGGAGGAGTTCTCTTCCGATCTACTCATGGTAGTGCTCTTGGACTTTGACTTGAACCCGAGAAAAGCCGGCAACCCCGCAGTGTCGCAACGGCACCCCAAAGAACTCATGACCCACAACTAGCGTCCCCATCCAAAGCCGCAGACTCGGATGTCATCAAGGCAAGTTGACGTTCAACGTTCAGCATTCCTTGTCAGCATATCATGACTTGGAGGGAAGATCGTGGTGTCGGTCGTCTGAGTAGACTGGTACACTTCATACAACTGTGAATGTTTGAATATGCAGACACAGCTCGCGGTGATAATCTGTCAGACAGCCGCCACTACAGCGGCAGGTTTGTGCCACCGCAAGTGGCAAACATACTCGGAGAATGGAAGTTCGAGGTACGCCGCATGGGCAATATAAATCTGGAAATCTGCACAGCATTACTGAGCAGCGAGGTACCACGTCTTTCAGGCCGGACGTTGACAGGCATGCGTTCGATCCGAACATCGACCGCGGGATACAACGAGCAAGTAGATATGCTCGGCGAGGGCGAGGCTGGTCGCGCCGCAAGTGCACCCACACATGCCAGTGTCCAACGGTTGACCTCTATTTGACGTGACCTTCGTGGCGCCCTTGTACCCTCGTTGCATGCTACCGATAGGGCGACCCAGTTTCTGGTGCGCACTCTCCTCCCGCCAGAGACTTGGTTCAAACGTGTGCGTTGACATCTCTATTCAATATACCACGTTTCGAGGTATCCTCACCTCCTTGGCCACGGGCGCCCGGACCGGCTAATTATGAAGCGGATCGAGCGTACGGGATCTGTTCCTGGCCTGATAACTTACTGTCTGAGCTATCCATCTCTTTGCTGGTCAGCGCTTCAGCATTGGAGGTTCACATACTCTTTCAGTGTCTCGCACTCTCGAGGGCAGATATCCTGCGAAAGAATGTGATCGTCTCCAATGCGTAGAAGATCACTCGTGTCGGTCGGCAGTTCCGTTCTGAACATCGTTGAACGATATAAAGTGTGCAGGCTACCTTGTCGGCATCGCAGTCCTCTGGATCCTCGAGATCCTTGCATTGGCCCCCAGCAATACCGACTTGAACATATCATAATGCGCATTGTAACCGCCCTTGCTTTGTTGGCGGCGGCACTGGCCACCAGTACCTACGCAGGCACGTGCCACCAGATGCGCACACTCATCGCCAGTAAGCATTTCGCTGCGCGACATTACTGCATACCATTCGTGCTCATGCATGTCTCGCTACTAGCCTGTCCCCAATCCTGTTGGGATGCCGCCGACTACGGCAGCTGCAACTCCGACTCCGATGCTAACTGCCTTTGCAACGAGCCCGCCTTCGTCGAGAGCGTGTCCACTTGCGTCGAGAACACCTGCTCTGCGAGCGACGTCACGGAGTACCAGCAGCTCGCGGACGAGATCTGCGCGACTGTGGTAAGTGCTTCGAGAACTGTGTGGTAGCTTCTCACTCACTATGATGTGCTTGCGTTGGCAGGACGTACAGCTCACACGCCGCTTGGTTGCGCGAGCTTAGCACTTCGCTGTAGACTCCGAGTCGGAGAGCGCCAGGACATAGTGTCCGATCTGACTTCGTATGTTGATGTCGTAGAGGTTTGGCCTCGTGCGTAGAGGCTTTGCAATGCCACTCTGGTCCGAGATCGCGAGGGCCGGGGCCTGCAAGTCAGGTTTCCGGTCTGACGTCCGACGTTCAAAGCTTCGAGTCTTCCACAGGCTGCCCCCTGGTCCTCCACTCTGACCAATGAATCTTTGAAGCCAGTCATCATCCGTGCAATGCTGTCGCTGTCTT